GGTGCCTGTGGGACCACTGATGTCCTCTCTAATACTTCCTCCCGAATAGATGACTCCTGAACGGGTGCCTCTTCAGGAACGGGGATCTCTGGACGAACCTGTGCTGCTAACTGCTCCTCAATAGCCGCCATACGAGCTGCCAATGGTGGTATGAGATCCACTAAGTACTGCGGAGCCTGCTGTGGCTCCGGCTCTCTATCTTCCTTCCCAACTCCCTGACATCTATAATTTCAAAATAAAGATTATTACGCAGTAAATAGGATCTCAAGCATGAAGCATATAACATATACCCATAAGTAAATCGTATCACTTATATTTCATGTCATGCTTAATTTGTCAAGCAAATAGTTCAAAAAAAATTTTTTTTGTAGATTTTTCGTGTACATATATATAATACGCCCTCACTCATACTAGGGATTCCTAACGGACTGTATACATGATCCCTAGGAAACTCTATCCTAACTCCACAATTTGACACAAGAATGATCCTAAGAATGCTGGCACTAGAGCTCTGATACCAACTGTGACGCCCCGGGGTTCACACAGGACTGCAGTCCCAGGTAAAACCCGGATTGTCAAACCTGCCAAGCACCAACCACCATGCTATGACAAGTTTCACCATCACAATCACTATCTCTCTAGTGGAAACAATAAATAGGTGAATGTACAGACAGGTAAAAATAGAAATAGGACAACACTGGATATACACAGAAGAAGCATAAGAAAAATCAATAATGAGCCCAACTGGAATAAAATAGACATATCTCTGAGTCTGGACTAAATCTCAAATACAAAGAGTCACATAAACAAAGTCTCACAAATAGCTCTCAACTCTATGAAACAGAATATCAATCTAGATTCTGAGATTTATCAACTACATGTGGAGTTCTGCAATAACTACAAAATATGATAAGTAACTAAATGGACAACTAAAAAGTTCCATTAACCTGCGACTCTCCGTGCGCCAGACTCGCTGCCTGAAAGGGGGGAAAACAACGAGCGTCAAAGCGCTAGCGAGATCATCACTACCTCTCCCCAGGGGAAGGGGTAGGAGTATATAAGAAAATAGAGTCAGTACATACATATATCAAATAATTCATATAACTCTCTATGAATGAAAAACCAATAATCAAAGATAAATACTCTAATCTCAACATAAAAAATAATCATCTCATCTCGAACTACGCCCGAGTGACCTGCTCTATAATAAGAGGGTATTAACAATTGATAAAAATAAATATATCTGTCGTTCATAACGGGTGCATCAAAATCTCAAAGGAAATACCCTACTCGCGGGTAATTTATCATAGAAGTAAAGCCCACAACTGATCAAATATTTATGTGTGCATCATCTTGTACTATAGCGATACTTTTATAATGCTCGTTACTCAATCGCTCTGCTGCAATAGGGTTTATTATTTTCCTATTCCGGATACATATAATAACGATACTATTGTAATACTATTACTCAATCGTTCTGCGGCAAATAGGTTTTATCTCCCTATTTCTGGATACATGAATTAACGATACTTTTGTAATATTCTTACTCAATCGTTCTGCGGCAAATAAGTTTTATCTCCCTATTTTCGGATACATGAATTAACGATACTTTTGTAATACTCTTACTCAATTGTTCTGCGACAAATAGGTTTTATCTCCCTATTTCCGGATACATGAAATAACTCTACTCTTTCATATGTATTCATCAGCTCAACGTGCGACAAAAAGTATGTTAACACAACATAATCTAAGTGTACGTGCACATATTTCGGTGTGCGTGTCCATATCTGGTGTTCATCATCATCCCAGATGTTAAACAACTCTTAAGCATTGTATATAACAGTACAAGATCAAGAAACTCTCTTAAAAATAACAAACAAGAGCGAAACTCAAGAAACATTTACGTAATATATCAATTTATTTTAAATCAGCACATCTGCAGTTTTCTGCAGGACATATCATTAGTAAATTGAGAATATCTTTCTCTGGACAAACTCTTTTTAAGAATAGTTTTTGTTTTGAAAACTAGACTCACATAGCTATCATTTGACACTGATTTGGTTCAGTTTGGAGTTCATATGATATTTCTAATTTCCAGCCAAACATTTTATTTGTGCAGCAGATTTTCTGCAGAACATATCATCAGTTTCCAGCCAAACATTTTATTTGTGCAGCAGATTTTCTGCAGAACATATCATCAGTAAATTGAGCATATTTTTCTCTAGGAAAAATATCTTTAGGTATGGTTTTCTGTTTTGAAAACTAGATTCACATATCTTTCAATTGGAATTATTTTGGTTCAAATTGGATATCATTTGTTATTTAAAATTTCTAGTTCAAAAGTATATGTGCAGCAGATTTTCAGCAGAACATAACAAGCATGATTATTTGCACAAGAAATCATATGTAAACCTTCAATCATGCACGAAACTTTAAAACGAAGCATAAGACATCTAAATTCAGATAAACAATGTTTAAATTATTTTTAGATCTTAAAACACTTCTATAAATTCGTGCTTAATCTCTTTAACATGAAAAGACCTAGTCTTTATACATATATACAAAAGATCCAATTTTTTATATACAAAATAATTGATTAGGCTCTATAAAACTCATTAAAAGCTCTTCAAAAATATTTTAAAAACTGGGAGGGAAATTAGTAGAGATGATACTCGCCTGGGGTTGTAGGAAAACTTGTTAGAAGCAACGTCGAAGGAGATCTCCACTCCAAAAGCCAAAAATCAACAAAAACCCTACTTGAAAGCCTCCAATTTTCTCCAAGAACTCAAAATAGGGTTTATGGGGGTTTTGTGGCTGTTAGGGTTCTTAGATATGATAAAAGAAAGGAATTTTCGTGAAAAATACAGGTATTTATAGAGGCAAACCCGAAACAAACCTGTTAGACCCGAACCAGGAAACCTAGTCTGACTAGGAAAATACCCCTTCGGTATTTTGGTTATAACTTTGGTCTTTTACACTTTTCCAAATTCTAACTGCATCAGTGTGCAAAATATAAAAACTCATAACTGGTCATTATTTCTAGATTTTCACTCTTTTGGCCTTTGTGCATGTTTTGTGCATTTGCACTCATATTTTCACAAATATATATTGAATTGATCTCAAATCAATTCTTATCATATCCAAACATCAAAATATATTATTTTTCACCATATAACATATTTATCATTATTTATCATAAAATATTCAAATTTACGGGGTTTTACAGTATAACAATAAAATTGTTGGTATAGTAACAACGTACAATAAGTAAAGTAATAAAACCTGTAAGTATAGCAACAATACATATAACTATAGCAATAAAATCTGTAAGTTGACTGTGTAAAGCTGGAAGAGGTGGGCATTGGGAGAGGAAGAGGGGTGAGGTGATGAAAAAGAGGAAGGAGGAGGAGGGTTGATGCAAAGGGTGGAGGAAGACCTACACGAAGAGATGAAGAAAATGGAGAGAGTGAGAAGAGGAAGATGTATTATGGATGAAGAGAGGAGGAGGAGGACAATAAAATTTAGGGGTTTTAACTTTTTCTTCTATAAATTTTTTCATAAATATTGTATAAAAATAAGTGTATTTGATATTTAGGGCTTGAAAATGAAGAGAAACGAAAGTATTTTCTAATGTATAGATGAATATAGAAGTGTGTTTAAAAATAAATGAGAGGGGTAAAACTTTGAGTGTAAAGGCAAAACCCTTTTAAAAATTAGCAATTGAGGATCTATCATCACCAGCAGAACTATAGGTGTCTATCCGCCTCCTAATTTTTTTTAATGATTTTACGAGTAAGAAATAAAAATGCATTAGGATCTGTTTGCAAAAATAGACCCATAAGGGGTCTATTTGTAATTGAGTAATAATACAGGTGGTCTGATCGCAATTAATCCTATAGAATAATTGATTACAAAACAATCCTATTAACAATGGACTTGTATCCCCTTCAATACCAAAAAGTAGTAGAGAGATTATTATCTTCTTAATCGTTAAGGACCCTCTCACAACCATCTCCATGTGAATGGACCGTTCTTGAGCCTTACACCAGGGGAAACAATTATCAAATTGCCTCCTATTTGTCAGGGGGTAAGGTTGAGAATTGTCCACTCGCATGTGATCATTTTGAGATAACTCATGCTCATTCTTCATAGTTGTTGGTTTTCCTAATGAGTAGTTGTGATTCATTTTAAATTTAGCTCTAATAATATCACTATCCCTAGTGCTTTTAGCCTAGTAAAATAAAAGATGGAGCAAAATTTAGAATATTTAAAGTGTTAATAACCCTTAGAAACTTCGGGATCTTGGAGTAGTACTCATAGGCAGCTTAACAACTTAGGTAAACCCCCTTGGGTAATAGGACAATATTTTTAATTTGATATTTTTTCATTTCCCTTTTGATATTATCGTAGTATTAATATCAACATTTGACGTTAGTTTAATGTTATTTATACAATAAAAATAACCAAATAGATATTTTCAGTGGTAGAAAAATAACTAGAGTGGTCCTAGTATTGATATTAACTAGTCGTGAACACCGTGCAAAGCACACCATATCATTTTTTTCCGCTACAGTAATCTCGATTTTTAAAATGCTACAGAATTTTTTTTTAATTTTTGAATAGCTACAGTTCCGCCTTTGCTACAATGTTTAAAAAATGTTACAGTATTCCCGTGTCCTACAGCTGTATTTTTTAAAAAAATGCTACAATACCCCGTCCCTGTTTGATACAGTAATTATGCCACAACAAATACTACTATAATATAACTGTAGCATGAATAGTGAATCTTAGATTATCCCATTTGTATAGAGGAGTAGATATCATAACGCGCAACTGGAAAAAAAGAGAGGCTAGATTAGAATAAGGAATAGTAAGTCTATCGTAACACACCCGGGACTATCCGAACCGTTCGTTTGGATAATGGGGACAGTTTGGTCATTTCTTAATCTCCCTATTTGGTACGTTCGGAAAAAGAGCGCTCCTAAAAAACGCCAAAAAAAAAAAGTGAACGCTCCTCTCTTCCTCGGCTTCTTCGCTCCTCCCTCCCTCGTGCCTTATCTCGAAACCACCAGATAGAGAAAAATCCAGGGGGGGGGCAAAAAAGGCAATGATTTCCCCATCCCTCCTCCTCCTTCGACCTTCTTCTCTATACCTATCATCATCACCCCGTCAGCTCTCTGCTCCAAGATTAGGCCATGGCTTGCTCACCCGCAGGCGCAAGGGAGCACGTCTGCTTCAAACCCAGAAGCACACCAGACAACCGGCCACTTGCTTCTTCAAACCGAGAGAGAAATCAAATGCTGCTTCGACTGACAAGGTACCCACTTATTATTTATTTATTAAATCTAAGCAGCAGTATTGGGTTTGGAATCGAGCAAGATTCCTATTACTGGGTTTGAATTTAGAGAAACAATTGAAGGAATTTGGTATTTGATCTGTGCATGATATTATATTCTTTAAGAGTACTTAAGTGTGAGGGTTACATAGTTCCCTCTTAAGTGTGAGGGTTATTTTTGGAATTTGAAAAATGGGAGCCACAAACCAAAGGGTGAGCTTTTCATAATTTATAGTATAGATTTAGGTTACGTCTTAATTTTTTCTTTCTTTGTGAACAATTGATAATAGGTGTATGATTTGACAGATAACTTAGTCTTCTGAGGGGATGCTGGGGTTAGTTGAGTTACTGTGCTCATGTTTCATTAGCTAAATGAACCATATGTTTATTGTACTGATCTGTGGAAATTCACCAATAACTTGCATATGCTGCTTGTGCTGCTAGGATCAGTGGTCACTCAGAGCAATCACTATACGATATTAAAGCTTGATGACTGGAGAATAAGAACGCTAGTTCTTTGATATTGGCAATCTATATAGTTATATTTTTCCGTTGTGCATATGGGGATAGATCTAATGATTTAGATTCGTTTAGAGATGATCTATATAGTTAAAACTTAGGCTCTATTTGAAAAATTGCACAAAACTAGGCCAGGACAGGTCCCGACTCAATTTTGAGTTAAATTGGTTGTATTTTGATCTAGGGTAGGTGGATCAAAATAGAGCCAGTTTAATGGCCTTTTTTTAAACTGGCTCTATTTTGGCCTAGGAAAAACTCGGCTAGCTTTGGCTCAGTTTTTCCAAAACTGGACTACCTGTGGCCCAATGTTTTCCCAAACTGAGTTCTTCTTGAAATTGGATCAGTTTGAACATGGTCCAACTTTGGGAGATTTCCAAACATGCCCTTGATATCAACTTTTAAGTTTAATGACTTAGATTTTTGGATAGCTAAATTATTTTGATGTATGGACTGAATTTCAAGTACTTAACTAGTTATTGGTTGTTCATTCCTCAATTACATGTTTTTTGGGTGCGAATATTCTATTTTTCTGAATTTTTTATAATTTTTACTGTATGATAGATAATGTATTTATTAAGAAAAATTCAAAACAACACAATTCCATGTAATCCGAGTAGTTGTTGCAATAATCCGATTGAACTCTACCCGCTCTGGGTCCGAACACAAAAAATCTTGTTCAGAACGTTGTTGTCTATTATGTAATATTCTCAATAAATTCAAAGAAACAATGGTATCTAGTTATTTTGAGGGAGGAACTGTGGAAAAACCCTGTAGTTTTGGCATGCTTAATTGGGAGTGGTACTACGATGAGTGACTTCCTAGAAAGTTCTCAGTTGGGACACAAATGCTACGAGAGTCAGCAATGACTATAAGAGTATTAGGAAAGCCATAGAGCTAAGTGTCTCTTTAAGTTATTTCTCCTTACAGAAGCTATAGAGGCAACAACCAGATGTGACTACCAAATGTATGGGAAGCCATTGCTGGAATCATACATTCATATTTGTTGTAAATGTATTTGCATGCATGTATGCATGGGGCAAGTATTGTGCATGATGTTGATTATAAAGAGGACTGCTAGACAACCCTAAATAATCTTGTTCATTTGATATCCCTTGTTCATACCTCAATAAATCCGATCCTGTTCCATCACATGTCACATCAACCAATTGGACAAACCTAAACCCTGTTCTATTTCTCCATGTAACACTATTGAATCATTTGTTTTCCCTTGAGCTTCCTCATACATTCTAGAAAATTTATGCATACTTGGGATGTCACCCCTAGATTGGCCTTTCTGGATGCTAATTGTGAGATCTTTACTAATCATGAATCTGGTGCCTACATGGAGTTCATAATCCAAGCTACTTTCGTATGGCATTATTTAAAGTTTTTGATGCATCCCACCTTGTAAAGCTTGTTCTTTCTAGTGTTCAGAAGGGACTTCAAACTTTGTGAAGTTCTGATTTATGCATGCTTTTATGCAGGGTTCATCTGGAAACTGGCCCATCCTTGAGCGATGGGATGTACCTTGGCAGTGGCAAACCGTTGTCCTCACTATGGTTGCATGTGGAGTAAGGTACTTGCCCATCTATGTTCACACTTATTAGGCAACAGTTTCACCAATACCTTTAAAATGACCTTCTATGTGCTATGTACCATTTCTTTTGTATGATTTTTATTGTAAATGCTTATTCATCTTCAGTTTCTGTGCAGCAGAATTTAGTGTGTAATCTTGAGTGTTTCGCATAAGGTTGACTCGTTTCTTACGTGGATACTTCAAATTTTTTTTGCTACTTTATGATTTTCTTTTCTTTGCCATTATTTTCCTTTGATTCATGATTGTCCAAACAAATCTAAGGTGTAGTCCCACCTCTCTTCCAATAAAGAGAAAATTTATCTCACTATATTGGTTCATGGCTTAAACTTGTGCTATGCCTTAAACTTGTGATATTTCTATATCACAGATGCTTTAACAACTGCCTCAGTTCCTTGTTTGATTAAAGCAATTGATTCTATTTCTATCTTTTGGGATTATCATGCACTCGTCTTTTTTTGATTGAACATGCACTCATTTATTTCCAGTCAATGAGTTGTCTTGAGTATGTTAATGCTGAGAAAATATTACCTAAAGTTTCTTCAGACAGCTTTGCTTTGACAGGGTTGGTTGAAGCGTCAGCTTTGCCTTATCTCGGTTTCCAGGGTGGAGACATGAGTTTAGACGAGAAGGCCGAGATACTTTTTGGTGGTCAATTGTACATGCTAACATTCAGATTTTTTTTTCTATACAGTGCAACTCCTTGTAGTTTTTAATGCTTCATTCCTTAATCTGCTATTTCTTCTTTGTTTTTCTTTTTTTTCCTTATCTAGTACTGTGACAGCTATTGTACTAGGAGTTGTATATGGCATCACCAACACCTTTCAGCCACTTCCTGATGATCTTTTCCGCTATGGTAGGTTTCTGTAAAAGTTATAATCACCTTTTTCAGATTTGAAGTTGGGAACTATTACTATTAGTATTTTGTGCTTACATTAAATGAACCAAGCTCTTATAGTTATCTGTCCTTTGACTCCAGATTGATCAGCTTGTTTTTTATCGATCTCTATTTGTTGGGTTAATCAACCCTCAGCGGTCCGCAGCGGTCTGATCAAATATACCAAAATTAACACACTAAACACAAAACCAGAAAATAGAGAGACGATCACAAACACGCAATATTTACGTGGTTCGATCAAATTGATCTACGTCCACGGCAAGAGGGAACTGTACCAATGCCAACTGTCTTGCAAACTGCATTGTTGCCCATCAAAACTGATCCACCACTTATAGATCTGTAAGTAGTGAACCAATCTTTATTTGGACACATATGATAAGACGCACCTGTATCCAAGATCCATTCTCTATCGGAACGGCCATCCAAGGGACAAACTGCAAGAACTGTCTCAACAACAACGACAATATCAGCCTTTGTCGTATTTAGCTGAATCTGAGGTTTCACCACGCTGGTTGTCTTTCTTCTTTAGAGCATAGCATTCTGACTTGTAATGTTTCACCACGCTGGTTGTCTTTCTTCTTTAGAGCATAGCATTCTGACTTGTAATGCCCTTTCTTGTGACAGTAGAAACACTCCACATGTTTCTTGTTTTGGGCTGACCTGGACTTTGAACGATTTCTGGATTGTCCTTTATCACCCTCTCCGGTCTTCATTCTACCTCTGGCTAGCAGACCATCAGCCTGCCTATAGGTATCTCTCCCATTCAACTTTGTTCTTAACTCAGTAGAATTCAAAGAGGCCTTTAGGCCCTTCACATCCTCAAGACTTATGGATTCTCTTCCATACAACATAAGTTAACAAAGTTTTCATAAGAGTCAGGTAAGGAACACAACACAATGAGAACCTGGTCTTCATCATCAAGCTTTAGATCCAGGTTTTTTATATCCATGACAATTTTATTAAATTCATCAAGGTGTTCCTGAATGGGATAGTGAGAACTTTATCAGATGTGAGACACATCCCAGACATAAAGAAAAATCTGATTTCTTTGAGTTCTTTGGATTCTATTGGGTGTTCTTACACTGGTGGAGGTGAAGCTCTTAGAGTTACTAAGGGTTCATTGGTTGTGATGAAAGATAGTAAGATGATCAGTCTTTATGTTCTTCAAGGCAGTACGGTGACAGGCTCTGCAGGTATGTCCTCTGATGCTGATAGGGACACTACTCAGTTATGACACATGCGCTTAGGCCACATGAGTGAGAAGAGGATGACTATTTTGAGTAAACGTGGCTTACTCTGTGGTGCACATGCGCTTAGGCCACATGAGTGAGAAGAGGATGACTATTTTGAGTAAACGTGGCTTACTCTGTGGTGATCATACATCATCACTGGATTTCTGAGAAGAGGATGACTATTTTGAGTAAACGTGGCTTACTCTGTGGTGATCATACATCATCACTGGATTTTTGTGAGCATTGTGTGTTTGGAAGCAAACTCGGATCAGCTTCTCGACTGGCTCACATACAACGAAGAGCACTCTCGACTATATCCATTCAGATTTGTGGGGACATGCTTAGGTTCCATCCAAAGATGGTGCTATTTATTTTCTGACGTTTATTGATGATTTTTCAGGAAAGTTTGGGTTTACTTTCTTAGGCGCAAAAGCGAGGTGTTCAAAACTTTCAAGAAGTGGAAAATACTTGTTGAAAATCAAACTAAAAAGAAGATTAAACGTCTCCGAACAGATAATGACCTAGAGTTCTGCAGTGGTGAGTTCAATCAGTTCTGCTCAAATTCTAGGATCGTATGACATCACACAGTCAGACACACTCCTCAGCGAAACGTGGTGGTAGAACGCATGAATATAACGTTGATGGAGAGAGCTAGGTGTATGATCTCAAACTCTGGGTTGGATAAAGACTTCTGGGCTGAAGCTGTTAACACAACTTGTTATTTGGTGAACCGGTCTTCTTCTACCGTCATTGAACACAAGACTCCAAATGAGGTATGGTCAGGTAAACCAAATGGCTATTCAAATTTAAAGGTATTTGGATGTCTCTCTTATTATCATGTTAGAGAGAGTAAGCTTGAGCGTAGAGCTAAGAAATACATATTTATTGATTATACTGATGACGTTAAAAGCTATCGTTCCTGATTCTCCTAAATTCATTATTAGTAGAGATGTTATTTTTAATAAAAGATATATGCTTGATCATGGGAAAGTTTCTGTTGAGTCTACAGGAAATATAGAGAAGACCATGGATAAGGTGGAGCTTCAGGTAGAGCTTGGAGGAGAGATTTCTCAAAAGTCGTCTATAAAATTTGCTCCTACAGTTGTAGAAGAGCAACATGATTCAGGCATCAGATGATGATGATGCTGAGACTGAAGAACCTTATTCCATAGCCACTGACAGAGAGATGAGACAAATCAAACCTTCTTAAAGATATGCACATACTGAATTAGTGGCGTATGCTCTCACGACAGCTGAAGAGATGTGTATTCAAGAGCCATCAAACTTTACTAAAGCTGTCTCATGCGGAGAATCTAGATGTTGGGTCACAGCTATGACAGAAGAACTCGAGTCACTTTACAAGAATCAGACTTGAGATTTGATGCAATTACCTAAGGGTAAAAGGACAATTGGATGCAAGTGGATTTTTAAGAAGAAAGAAGGGATCCTAGAGGTTGAAGATGCTAGATTCAAAGCACGATTAGTGACTAAGGGTTATAGACAAAAGGAGGGAGTTAACTATGATGAAGTGTTCTCTCCGGTTGTGAAGCATACCTCCATTCGTGTATTGCTTGTCATGGTTACTCTATTTGATCTGGAGCTTGAGCAGCTTGATGTGAAGACTATATTTTTGCATGACGAACTTGAGGAGACTATCTACATGTCTCAGTCAGAGGGATACTTTGTAGAAGGTAAAGAAGATCAAGTTTGCAGATTGAAGTAATCTTTGTATGGCTTAAAGCAATCTTTTAGACAGTGGTACAAGAGGTTTGATAATTTTAGGCTTAGTCATGGGTACTCAAGAAATACTTATGATAGTTGTGTGTACTACATGCATCTAGGTGATGATTCTTTTATTTATCTTCTATTATATGTCGATGACATGCTTATTGCTGCTAAGAACATGTCGCAAAATCTTATTTTGAAGAAACAACTCAGTGATGAGTTTGAGATGAAAGATCTTGGTGCAACAAAGAAGATCTTAGGTATGGAGATCAGGATGGACAGGAAAGCTGGAGCATTATATCTCTCGCAGAAAAGTTATATTGAAAAGGTGTTTGAACGCTTTGGGATGAAGAGGACCAAGCCTGTTACAACTTCTTTGGCTCATCACTTTAGGCTCTCGGCTTCAGATTCACCTACAAGTGAGAACAAGAAGAGGGAGATGTCATGTGCTCCTTGCTCTAATGCAGCGGGTAGCATTATGTATGCTATGATTTGCACTCGTCCAAACATTACCCAAGTAGTCAGTGTAGTGAGCAGATACATGGCTTAACCAGGGAAGACATACCGGGAAGCAGTGAAGTGGACCCTTCGGTATCTCAGGGGTACCTCAGATTTAGGTTTAGTTTTTGATAGTAGTATGTTGGGAACCTCAGTTGTAGGTAGGTTTTGTGGATTCTGATTATGCAAGTGATCTCGATAAAAGAAGATCTTTGACTGGTTATCTTTTACTCTTTCTAGCTCAGCTATTAGTTGGAGATTTACTCTACAGTTGACAGTTGCTTTGTCTACTACAGAGGCAGAATACATGGCAGCAACAGAAGCGGTAAAAAAGGCCATTTGGTTGAGAAATCTCGTAAGGGAGCTTGGACTTTAGCAGGAGGCTAGTTCAGTTGTATTTTGCGAAAATCAGAGTGTAATACATCTAAGCAAAAACTCAGCACATCATGAGAGGACAAAGCATATTGATGTCAGATATCATTTTATTCGTGAGGTAACCGCTGAAAGAAACATCACGATGAAGAAGATTGGTACTGCAGACAACCCAGCTGACATGTTGACCAAACCGATCCCGACCTTCAAGTTCAAGCACTGCTTGAATTTGGGAGGCATTCGCACTTGTTAGGTAGTCCCGCTTGGGGCATTGTTGGCAAGACGAGTGAAATTCTCTAGTTATTGATGTTTGAGGATTCAATCCAAGGTGGAGATTGTTGACTTTTTAGCTTGAATCCAAAATGGGTGGGACCCATTTCAAATCTCTTCTCTTAATTTTAGATTGTAGAATGACAGCATATCTCGGGGAGTTTTTTTATTTGATTGGGGGTCACTCTTACTTGTAGGCCCCCCCAATCAATCATACTCTCATTTTGTTTTCGGTGAGAGTTTTAATAAACATCAGAGCGACAAAGAGATATACATCCACGAGAGCTCTTAAAATTTTGTACTTGTGTGGAAACTCAGAGAGAAATAAAATTTAGCCCCCTCTTGCCGTGGATGTAGATCAATTTGATCGAACCACGTAAATATTGTGTGTTTGTGATTGTCTCTCTATTTTCTGGTTTTGTGTTTAATGTGTTAATTTTGGTACATTTGATCAGACCGCTGCGGACCGCTGAGGGGGTTAAATTTTATTTCTCTCTGAGTTTCCACACGAGTACAAAGTTTTGAGAGCTCTCGTGATTGTATATCTCTCTGTCTCTCTGATGTTTGTTAAAACTCTCACCGAAAACAAAATAATAGTATGATTGATTGGGGGACCAACAAGTGAGAGTGACCCCCAATTAAATAAAAAATCTCCCCGAGATGTGCTGTCATTCTACAATCTAAAATTGAGAGAAGAGATTTGAAATGAGTCCCACCCATTTTGGATTCAAGCCAAAAAGTCAACACTTTTCAATAACGGACCAGGTTGTTTGTACATATAGTTTATGACTTATGTAAGTTGTTTAACATAATTTACAATATAATTGCTTACCTTTATAATTACTAGTACAATATAGTATCTATAATTCTTGATCCCATGCTAGGACTATTGCTACATCTCTCATAACAATTGTTAGGGGGTGCATTTGCTCATGGGGAAAGCCTTTGGATATGTATATGACTGTAAATCGTAAGTGCAAGTGAGAACACACCATTGTTTGAATCCCAGTATTACAGTTTGATAGCCTCGCGTCTTTTCTCTTTAAATCCCCCATCCCCGGAGTCTTATTTTCTACATATGTTATGAGTCAATTTGCAGCCCTTCATAACCCTGTACACTTTAGTTTGAATGCATCCATTGATACTTGTCTAATGGTGATTCACTTTCCTCTGGTGTTTGCTTAATTGCTGATATCAGTATCTGGACCAGATGTCTGTTGCTGACTGGTTAGTGGTTACTGTATCCAAATATTTGTTGTCCTCTGTTTACTGTTTTGATGTCTCAAGACTTCTAACAGACATCTGATTCTGCCTGATCCTTTAATATAAGAAAATATCCAACAATCAAGCTGCAAATTTGTATAAATTACAAACTATAATGCTTTCCAATGGATAAGGAAGCTAACTGATTCTCTGCTCATGTTCGAAACTTCAGAATGGAAGGAACCTTTCAATTTGCAAAATGGCTGGCTACTATGGGCAGGAATTGGCCTCGGGGGTGCAATAATTACTATTGCTTTAGCGGGAACTGCCTTGACCTTTTTTAATGGAGAGCCGCCACAGAGAGAGGTTATATACAATCTTTGCATCTTGTCAAAATTTATATTGTATCCGCATGTTGATAAATGACGATGGCAGCAATATTTTTTGCTGAAATAGGCCAAAACACCCACTTTTCACTGCATATTTAAGTTCATGGTTGTTATTAGTATGTTACGTATTAATCTTCCCTATCAGGTTGTCGTATGTTCTTGTCTGTTATTGATTATGTTCAGTTAATGTATTTTATCACCTAGTGTTTCTAATAATCCTATATTTTGGTTATCTTCCTCTCCGCTGTTCGTTCTTGACGACAGTGCTGGTAACACCTAAAATTTTATAAGAGAATTTAACAACAAGAAACCATTAAAAAAGTTATATAGAAAGAATCACATCAAAAAAAGGAGAAAGAGCCACATTGTCTGCAGAACTAGGATGGACGCATGACTCAATCAATTTCAGAATTTTTTAAAGATAAAGTGGATGAGATCATAAACTCCAGCCAGTGATTTCATTAAGAAATTTAAGGTTAATCAAATTCTTTCTCTGGGATATACAAGTTGGTTATACACTTATACTAAAGGGATATAACTCTCTGCTTTGTGCTTCAATGTGATTTATATTTATATTTTTGACTGTTTCAGACTGATGCCCTAGTTCGCTTGTTGCCATTGATTGGCTCATCTGGTATCAGGTACTTCTTTTCTAGCCTTTTCTAAGCATGTGGAAGAAAGTAATAAAGGCTGATAGCACTATGACTAATATTTCTGACTGTGTGATTACTGTAGCACTGCCTGTTTAGTAGGCGTGACAGGTGTTTTAGCCCCAGTTCTTGAGGAGACTGTATTCCGGGGGTTTCTGATGACATCTCTAACGAAATGGTACTTTTTTTTTCTTTTCTAACATGGTAAAGCCTTTAAATTTGAAATTGATATTGACAGAGAGTTATACTGTAATTTATTTTTCCTTCTAGATTATTGTACTTCACTTTACAAATAAGTTGCTAATTTCCTCAGAATTCTTGAAGTATCTGGCAGCACAATTTGCTGTAGTCACATGCAGTATGGGCACTTAGAGTATACTCTAATCAAACATCTAAAAAGACTGGATTAAATTAGGTGAACCTTGGTAAATGCATCTTGTAATTCTTCCCTTCTAATATCAAATGTTAGATGTTGACATATTAGTATTAGTTAGGGACTTATTTGTAAGTTTTGTAGGGGCCTATATAAAGCCCAAGAGATCTCATAATGAATTAGGGTTTTCACATTCTATATGGTATCAGAGCCACCAAAACCCTATTTTCCGCCTGCAGACCACCACCCTTCCGACTCCTTTCCGGCCTGCAGCCCCTCGAACCTCCTCCTGTTTCCGCCTGCAGATCCCCCCCCAGATCCCCCTCTGTCCGGCATCCTAACCAGACCGGCTTTGTCCGATCCAAACCAGAACCCCCCACCCGAACCCAAAACAGTCCCTGACCTGACCCCCTTTCCAAACCCCTGACCTTCGAACCCAAAATTGCCCCAGGACCCGGGACCCGAACCCCCCCCAAAACAGCCCCCTTACCCGACCCCTCTCTAGCCCCTGATCATAGCCGCTGCCACCTCCAAACCCCTCTCTAGCCGCTGCACTTGCTGCGCCATGTCGGACCTAGAGTTTGACATGGGTTCCTTCGACTCAGTCCTCGAACTGATGATAGGAAGAGTATATATCTCACATCGATGAGATATATAACTGTTTTTGGTTCTTGTTTCCTCTGAGAAACGAGAATTTGTTTGTGATCCTACTCTTGTTGTGCAGCAGAGGTGCTGCCGAAATTTTCACTGCACACAACAAGGGTCGGAAGAGAAGGTGAACGGTTGGTGGGTCTGAAGCCTGTTCGATGGAGGAGATCATCAAGAAGTTGAACCCTGCGGAGGTGTCAACTTTGATGAAGTTGATGAAGTTGTCGGCTGATGAAAGCGCAACAAGACCATCGAAGAAGTTGGAGCTTCCGACCATCGATCTGAAGCTTGATGGACCGAGTACCTACCTGAGTTGGTCACGACGAGTGAGATACACCCTTGCAGGGAGGAACCTGGAGGGTTACTTGACCGGAGAGAAGACAGAACCAGATGAGAACTCGGGAGGACGAGATGAGTGGAAGTCCACTCATATGTTGGTGTACATCTGGCTTCTCAACTCGCTGGTCCCGACGATCGCCGCCACGGTGGATGGCATTGAGAAGGTGAAGGACGTCTGGGAGAAGTTGAGGAGGACATATGATGGAGTGGGGAATAACCTGAGGGTGTTCCAGATTAAAGGAGAGATCGACGCCACAGTCTAGGGAGAGAGGACTATACAGGAATATGCTACAGAGCTGGAGCGCCTGTGGCTGGACTATGATCATTTTTTTCCTCGGGCTAGCTGCAAGGACCCGGGGTGTAAAGAGCGGGAGGCCTTTCTACAGGAGAGGACTATTGTGTTTCTCAAGGGATTGACATCAGAGTTCGCTCAGCGAATCGCATTGCTGCTAGCTCAGCCGAAGATTCCCACGCTTGAGGAGGCTGTCTCTGCTATGATCCAGGAGGAGACTCGCATTCGGCTGCAGGCGGGGACAGGTGGACTTCCTGTGGTGAAGTCAGCACTGGCAGCCTCTAGCAGTACTGGATCTAGGGGAGAGACTCGATAGTGCTACAATTGCGGTGCGGTGGGTCATCTAAGGCATGCTTGCACCAAGCTATCCAAAGAAGGAGATTCGGGTGGACGTGGGCAGTTCAGAGGTCGTGGTCGTGGCTGTGGGGGTCGACGAGGTGGAAGAGGAGCAGGAAATCGGCCGAATCTGACGGTAGCAGAAGAAGAAGAAGCTGAGGTGGTCTTTACAGAGGAGGATCGTGCTCTTCTCACGATACTCAGGAAAAAACAACAAATAGCAGGGGATGGAGATTCGAGGAGTGGGACTGCGGAGGCATCCACTTCGTTCTTCGTCAGAGACAACACTGCTACCTATGCTCATTCGATCAAAGGTACTAATGACATACATGCTATTGCTTCTATGTCTCCCGACAGATCATCAGAGTGGATAGTCGACTCCGGTGCGTCTCGTCATGTGACAGGTAATGCTAGTGAGTTCTCATCATATACTCACTTAGCATCGCCTGATAGTATTCAAACAGCTGATGGTACATTTCAGCCGGTGGTTGGTAAGAGTACAGTAAATTGTACTGGTTCTGTAACTTTGTCCAATGTTTTGCATGCTCCTTCCTTTCCAGTCAATCTTTTGTCCATTAGTTCTATCATCCTTCAACTAAAATGCATTGTTTCTTTTGATATTCCCAAGGTGATTTTCCAGGAGAAGGGGACAGGGCGGAGACTTGGGACTGGCACATGGCGTAGTGGACTATGGTATCTGGATCGTGAAGGGCTGGATTCAGCATTGGTGTCAGTCATAGAGGAAGCAGGAGTAGGATATATAATGAGTGCTGAAAATGAGTTAATGCTTCATCACCAGCGTTTGGGACACTCATCCTTTAGTGTTTTAGGTAGATTGTATCCTTCTTTATTTGAGAAAGCAAATAAACAGAAACTTGTGTGTGATGCATGTGAGTTTGGAAAGCTTACTAGAAGCTCTTATGTTAGTTCTGGTCATAGAAGTTCTCATGCATTTGACTTGGTACATTCAGATGTTTGGGGGCCTTGTTCCACAAGTTCTATGAATGGATACAAGTATTTTGTTACATTTATTGATTGCTTCTCTCGTGTTACTTGGTTATACCTGATGAAGAATAAGAGTGATGTGTTTGGGTGCTTCCAAAATTTTCATAGGACTGTTCAGACTCAATACAGAACAGTGGTGAAAGTATTGAGGTCAGATAATGGGACAGAATTTACCAACAAAGCCTTTGAAGAATATTTGTCAGCTCAAGGAATACATCACCAGACAACCTGTCCATACACACCAGCTCAAAATGGGGTAGCGGAAAGAAAGAACAGACATCTTTTAGAGGTTGCTAGAAGCATGATGATCTCTATGAATGTCCCAGAAACATTATGGGGGCAAGCAGTATTGACCGCAGCAGCATTGATCAACAGAATGCCCTCGAGAGTGTTGGATTGGAAGTCTCCGTATGAGATATTGAAGGGAGATAATGGTGGGATCCTTCCACTCAAAGTGTTTGGCTGTGTGTGCTTTGTAAAGGACAACAAGCCATCTGTCGGGAAGCTTGCCCCTAGAGCTGTGAAGTGCATCTTTGTGGGATATTCTGCTACTCAGAAGGGATATGTTTGCTGGAGCCCGGTGGAGAAAAGATTGTTTGTGAGCATGGATGTGCACTTTCGAGAACTCGAGCCATATTACACCCAAGAGGTAACTTCAACCGCTGGTAACTCGCCCAATACTAGAAGTATGAGGCGAGAGGAGGAGAATGGTGAGAGAACGGTGAACAATGTGGAGAAATCCATTTCTGTATCGATTCCTTGGGAGGGAGAATTGGTTGAGGAGGAGCAGGAGAATGACGAAGAAAAGGAAAATGAGACGAGGTGTTCGACCCACTGTTCAAGGGGAGCTACTAACTTATAGTAGGAAGGACAAGCAAATTACAGGAACAGTACCTACAGTGCCACTAGTGCTGCCAAGTCTCTTGCCAACGCCTACCCCGACTCCTGAAACACCTACACCACCACCAGTTTCATCCCAAGGTGATAACATTCCTACTGATAACATTCCTCTCCCTACTGATAACATTCCTCTCCCTACTCCTCCCACACCAATATCAGTACAGAGGACTACTCGTAGTAATGCGGGAAATCCTTCCGATAGATATGGTTGGGATGTTGCCCAATTTGTATCATATTCTAACATCCACCCTGCACATGAGGCATTCATTGTATTATTGGACTCTGTTACTGTACCTAATAATTGGCAGGTTGCTAAGAAGGACCCAAAGTGGAAAGCGGCTATGCACGAGGAGTTAGGAGCTCTAGAGAAGAACCGCACTTGGGAGCTAGTAAAACTACCAGAAGGAAAGAGAGCAGTTGGATGCAAGTGGGTCTTAACTGTGAAGCAGAATCCAGATGGACAAGTTGAGCGCTACAAGGCTCGTCTGGTGGCAAAAGGGTATAGTCAGACATATGACATTGATTATGACGAGACCTTTGCACCGGTGGCAAAGATGAGCACTGTTCGGACCTTAATCTCTCTAGCAATAAATGGTGGATGGAAGCTACACCAACTAGATGTGAAGAATGCATTTCTTCATGGAGATCTAGTGGAAGAGGTATACATGGAGATACCACCAGGATTCGGTACAGATCAGACAGTGGGAAAGGTCTGCAGATTGAAGAAGTCTCTTTATGGGCTAAAGCAGTCTCCTCATGCTTGGTTTGATAGATTCAGGAGGGTTATGATTGGTATGAGGTACCAGCAGATCAGCGCCGACCATACCGTGTTCTTTCGAAGAAGTGGAGGTCACATCACCTTGCTTGCAGTATATGTGGATGATATGATTATTACAGAGGATGATGAGAAGGAGATTGCCCAACTCAAAGCGAGATTGGGTAAGGAATTCGAGGTGAAAGATCTTGGCTTGCTTCGATACTTTCTTGGAATAGAGATAGCTCGAGGAGCGGAGGGGATCGTCCTATCCCAGAGAAAGTATGCACTGGATCTTCTCAAAGAAACAGGAATGTTAGGATGCAAACCTGCAACTATACCGATCGATCAGAAGTTTAAGCTGGGTGCTAAAGCTGGAGAACCAGTTGATCGTGACAGATACCAAAGGCTGGTGGGCAGGTTGATCTATCTGTGTTACACACGTCCTGATATCTCTTTTGCAGTGAGCGTGGTGAGTCGCTACATGCATGATCCAAGGAAGGGTCATATGGACGCAGTGTACCAGATTCTAAGGTATTTGAAGAATGCCCCCGGAAAAGGGCTAATCTTCAGGAAGAATGACCACATGAGCATTGAGGGCTATTGTGACTCTGATTGGGCTAGCTGTGCTGATGACAGGAGGTCCACATCAGGATACTGCATCTTTATAGGAGGCAACTTAGTCTCGTGGAAGAGCAAGAAGCAGTCGGTGGTGGCTAGATCGACAGCTGAGGCAGAGTATAGAGCTATGGCCTTAGGAGTTGCTGAGTTGCTATGGTTGAAGAGTATGCTGGTGGAGCTGAAGCTGGATCAAGGAGCTAAGATGAAGTTGTGGTGTGACAACAAGTCAGCCATCAGTATCGCCAACAACCCAGTGCAGCATGATAGAACCAAACACATCGAGATCGATAGGTTCTTCATCAAAGAGAAGTTGGATAGTGGACTACTAGAGCTAAGTCATGTTTCGACTAAGGACCAGGCAGCAGATTGTCTGACTAAAGGACTTAGCTCAGTAGATATGATTAGAGGATGTGACAAGATGAGCTTAGTAGATATCTTTCGCCCATCTTGAAGAGGAGTGTTGACATATTAGTATTAGTTAGGGACTTATTTGTAAGTTTTGTAGGGGCCTATATAAAGCCCAAGAGATCTCATAATGAATTAGGGTTTTCACATTCTATATTAGATATTATTGGACATAAGTTCAGAAGAGCAGGAATATATAACATGAGCATGTTCTTTTGGATGTTATTTAATGAAAATTTCTCTACTGATATAGATTAATATTTAAATGGAACATTGAGTTTACTTTACCTACTTTGGAGGAATATATAACATGAGCATGTTGTTTTGGACGTTATTTAATGAAAATTTTCTCTACTGATATAGATTAATATTTAAATGCAACATTCAGTTTGCATTTACCTACTTTGGAGGTTGTTAAAGGAAAAATTATTTAACGATTAGAGTAATTTTTTTATGCAACATTCAGGTTCTATGACAGTTACGAATGGTTAAGGCTTTGGTTTGGTCTTGTTGTTTACTTTTGCTCTTTGGTATCATCTAAATCTCTTGTTTTGGTTTTAACTTATTTAGTTCTTGTAGTTTACTATTTCCTATGAAGCTTTATATCCTCTAGTTTGATGCTCTCTTTTTTATATTGTATAGAGGTGGCAAATGGACTGGTTTGGCCCACAGCCAACAAATCCATTTCATTCTGAGTTTTTGACTGTCACTGCTTAAGTCACACTTGGTGTTCGCAACACAGTGAAATAATAACCACTGATCGAACTTTTGATAACAGCATGATCCTTGATTAAAAAAAATTCGATGGAAATCTTATAATCCATGAACTTCTTTTGCTTATAGTAATAGTAGTAGAACATTTCCTATTTTAAGCGCAAAACCTTTTCTAAGTGTAACCACTGGGGTTCCAAAATTTAAATCTCATAACTTGCAAATTTAGAAAAAGGCTTAAAACATTGATTTATTCCTATAAAACAAACCAAATGCACCCTTAATCCTTCTTTCTCATAGCCTTGCTTGTATGTTTCTTTCTTTCTTCCTTTTTTTTAAAGGTTACCAGCATCAGCTTCTGTGCTTATAAGTGCTGCAGCACTTGCTCTAATTTAAATTCCATTACTTACAAATTTAACAAAAGTTTAAAACGTTAATTTTTTCTATAAAACAATCAAAATATATCCTTAATCCTTCTTTCTTATAGCCTTGCTTATATGTCACTTTCTCTTTTGTAGGTTACCAACACCAGTTTCTGTGCTTATAAGTGCTGCAGTATTTGCTCTTGCTCATCTCACTCCTGGACAGTTTCCTCAGCTCTTTGTGTTGGGTATTATTTTTTAAGCCTGACATATTTCTATAGTTTCATTCTCGATCTCAGAAATTCTTGAGAATTGCTGACTACTTGAGTTTTCTTCTTATTAAAGCCTTTGTACAACATGATTAGTTAACTGTTAGAAACTCTGAACTTTGTCCATACAACTGTAAGGTATGATCAATTTTCTTCAGAAATCAGAATGTGTAAGCTTGTATGGGAGGGCAGTTAAGCCATTAATCATGCACGTTCAAAGGAAAACTTATTGATAACTAAACTTAATTGCAGGTACTGAGCAAATGGTTCTGGCTGGGATCTCGATGATGTTATTCACATACAAAAAATTAAAATAAAAAGAAATAATCAAATAAAAAATAACTCCTCAATTGGTTACAATGAGTCATTTGTTTTTGCTAAATCTACAATCAGTTGGTTGAAGCAACCTAAGAGTTTGCACAAATTAGTCTCCACTCTTCAATGATCTACAAGCTCGCACGCCAAGTGAACAGCAGGAGCAGTGTAAGCTATGATTTATAATGAAAAAAGCCGAGTGGAAACTTCGTAAATAATCATGGTGGTCTAATATATCAGTAGTTTTAGGTGCAGGTGAACTTTAACTTTTGCAAGATTCCTTTACATAATAATGTAACCATTCAAAAGTCTAGAAGTTAATTAAAAAATGGCTAGATGTACTTCATTAAAAACTTTTACTTTGTTAAAGAAAAAAACAATTCGATTTTTCTCTTAAATTTGTTTGTTCGTTTTCCTTTTAATCCTAAGTAAATTCTTATTTTTTTTAACTTCAGAATATGTCAGTGTTTTGGAGAAGTCTAAAATTTATGTTTTCTTCCTCTACCCTCATTAAAGAGAAATGAGGAACCAGCAGGTGGCCAGTACATTTTAGTAAATTTATGTGTTATTAAGACAGCATTAGCAAAATTTCCTCCCCTTTTTCTTTGTATTATTTCCTATGTTTTCGATCTTCTAAATGGTTCTATTTTGTCTTTCATCGTCTCTTACATTTGCACAGCTACAGCAAAAAAAGGTTACTTCCATTTTGCATTGATTGTTAAATGAAAGCCATCAAGTTGTTTAGCTTTCTAAATGTGAAGCTTGTCAGTAAATTTGAGTTCTATGTATGGGTGCAAAGATCTCCTGGAAAATAAATGCATGTGAAGAGATAATTTCATCATTAACATCGTCATATAGAATGTTTTAATGAACTAATGGGTGATTCATTTATCTTCTTGCTCTGTAATTATATTAAAACAGGGACCGCTCTCGGGTTTTCATACGCACAGACTCGAAATCTGATGACTCCCATCACTATACATGCTATCTGGAATTCAGGCGTAATTTTACTGCTAACGTTTCTTCAGGTAAATATTTTACATGATTATGCATTATGTCAGTCGAACATCACCACCAAGTTCACCGAAGCTATACTGCATGCTCTTAACTATTTGCACCTCTCATTCATAAAGGTTTCTACTTCTGGTGTTTGCAGCTACAAGGATATGATATAAGAGAGCTGTTGCAGGCATCTTAAAGTATGACCTGATTCTAAGCGAAGCTTTTGGTTCAATCTGGCATCATTTCAAAATGATCAGTTACTACCTTATCTATGAGATGATCTGAAGTCTATACAACAAGAGACTCGAGCTGGAAACCGAGAAGTGCACAATCAGCTACTCCAACAACAGCATAGGCTGCTGCAAATTGAATATTTCTACTCCCATTGCCCACCCCACCCCACCCCACAACAACAACAACAACAACAACAACAACAAAAAACCACGAGAATGTAAATGCAATGACATACCTCTCGAGCTCCAAAAACATTTGAAGGAACGTTGTGTTTTTTTCTTTTCCTGACAGAAACTGGAAATGTGTCATTAGGCCAGGGCATATTATGGATAATGATTGACCTTTTGCAATTATATGCACTGCATGCTACAAATATATTGCTACCATGCGACGAAACTTGGGTAAAATAACAGAGAAACAGATCTCGTATCCAATACATTCGAGCACATTCTCTGCAAAAATAAAAAAAACCCGAGAAGTCCCTGTCAAACTTTTGCGTGCTGTTTGCAAAAAGGGTGTTAGTGGAAAGTAGAGGGGCTAATTCCTATCTTTTTCATTTGAAGCATCAATTATGTGCTGATGGGGTTTAACGTTACATCACTTGAGAGTCTGAAATATTATTCCAATTTAAAGCTTATTAAACTGGTTTAGATGTTAACCTGAACCAATTCAAAATTGGCTACCGATGATCTGGATCTTTGTCCCTCTCTTTCTCAGCAGTGAACGAAGGGGGTGCTTACGATATGAGAATAGTAATAAAAATATGACTATATATCATTTTTAATTTGATTGAATAATTATGAAAAAAAAAAATCCATGACTTAAATATTACCGACATTTTTTAGTTTATTATTATATAACTAATCACGGACTTTAGGTATTATCTTAAAGTACCGAAGAGCTTTCTTATCGTTATAGTATACTGTATTTTTTTCTACTGATTTCAAACTTTATGATATTTTTCTCTAACAAAAATCGACACTTTTATGCAAAACCCTAGTACTCATGAATGAAATTTATCCTAACAGATGTTGATGGAGTTCAAGAGAGAAAGAAGTTAAGAAAGATGAATATTCAAGGCGATATATACACTCCTATTTAAAACAAAGTTAAATAATAATAATAATAATAAAAGTCAAGAAGAAGAAAAAGAGTTTAGAATAAACGGGGTAAATTAGACTAAACATCCAAGGACCTTCCGCATTTTTCCGTAGAACCCCAATAACTTGTAAAATTGCATTGAAAAGCCATTAACTATTGGATTGTAGAAAACCCCTAATAAGTGACTGTTCCACACTCAAAAATTAATGTGATCACTAGTACATAATTGATAATGAAATATGCTAATAATTGTTAATCTTGAGCACAAGAATTAACACGAGCAGACTGCATTGCTAAAAGAGACAAAAGAACAGGTTACATGCATCACATGACAAGCTATACAGATCCATCTTGTAATATTGGAATGATTTGAACATTGATTATTTTCAAACACACATATATTGGAATGATGAGAACACTAATCATTTTCAAGCAAACTTTATATTTTAAGGAATAAACTGTGTACATACCGTTGTGCGAAGCAGAACCAAAAGAGCACGAACACAAACGAGATAGAATCACAAAACAATAACCAGAACACAAGCACCACACAACAAGACACCCAATTTACGTGGTTCGGCAATGTGCCTACGTACACGGGGCAATGGGGGAAGAGATTTCACTAATAGGGAGAAAGAGAGTACAAATAGGGTTTACAATCACTCAATAATCTCACAAAATAACGCTCAAACAAAACTCTCAAGTCCCTCACAAATTCTTCCACTCAAAGTGCTCAAAAACTGCTAATACTCTCCTTCGGAAACCCTAAAAACTGTGTTTGTATTTATACAAACACTCAATCCCAAACCAAACAGGAAAACAAAAAACAGCCCAGGAACCCGTCCTCAGTAGACTGATCAGATCATCAGTCGACTGATCGCCTATCAGTCAACTGAGCAGAAAAGAAATCACAATTCTGGGGCATTTCATGAGTCAACTTATCAATTTATGAGTCGACTCATGACATGCGTAAGTCGACTCATAACACTAAAAATCGATTTTTCTGAGTTTTCAACAATTCTCCACCTCGGCGAAGTTTTCCAATAAAACTGAGCCGACCTCAATACCAACCATCCCACTTGTTGCGTCTAGTACGAAGTGGAATTAATCCACAACAACGAACTCAATCCATAACAAGTCATGAATCCAAATGAGAACTCAAACAATCTCCCCCTTGTCGATATCAACTCATCAATTTGGCTGCATCAAAATAACTGTCTACGTATCCTCTTGCTCAAGGAATCAAGCCTTACGTGTAGTTCACCCAAATAGCCTTCAAAGGCCCTCAACAACGAAAAATGTTCAACAACTCCAAACAATGACTAAATTTCACCCCAGTGACAACTTTGGTCAACATATCCGCCAGATTATCCTTTGTGTGGATCTTCTCTAATATAATGTCTCCATCATCCAAGACATCTCGCACAAAATAAAACCTGACATTAATGTGCTTTGTTTAGGTATGATACATCTGGTTCTTTGCTAAATAAATAGCTGACATGTTATCGCATTTTACCCTAATGGTATCCTGTGCAGTCAAGTCATCCAATAACCCTTGTAACCACAAAGCTTCCTTCACAACTTCAGTCAACGCCATATACTCTGCCTCCGTAGTGGAAAGAGCCACTGTAGACTGAAATGTATATTTCTAACATACTGGTGCTTCTGCTAGTATAAACACATATCCCGAGTAGACCGACGCTTGTCAAGATCCCTAGCATAATCTGAATCCACATATCCAACACAATCCTGCCCATTTGTCTCATTCTTCTCAAATACCAAACCAACATCCATGGTGCCTTTGATATACGATAGAATCCACTTCACGGCCTCCCAATGACCCTTCCCGGGGTCGTGCATGTGCCTAGGCACCATGCTCATAGTCTGTGACATATCTAATCTTGTATACATCATAGCATATATCAAGCTATCCACCGCACTGGCATATAAAACTTTTGACATGCACTCATGATCCTCAATTGAAACAGGTGACATCTTAGCTGAAAGCTTAAAGTGGGGAGCTAATGGAGTACTCACCGCCTTGGCATTGCCATCAAAACTAAATTTCTTCAACATCTTCTGCAAGTAGCTCCTCTGAGTTACCTTCAATCTCCCATTCGCCCTGTCTCTCTTAATTTTCATACCCAATATATTCTTTGCTTCACCAAGGTCCTTCATCTCAAATTCGAATGACAATTCTTTTTTTAACTTCCTAATAGCTGAAGTATTCCTAAAAGCAATGAGCATATTGTCAACATATAATAATAAATAAATATACTCACCATTCTGTAGCTTGTGCATATATACACACGGGTCATATGGGCTCCTCGTGTACTCTTGGCCAATCATGAAACTGTCGAATCTCTTGTACCATTATCGCGGTGATTGCTTCAATCTATAAAGAGATTTCTTCAGTTTACATACCAGATCTTCCTTGCCTGTAGCTCTAAAACCCGTCGGTTGTGACATATAGATCTCATCTTCTAAATCTCCATATAGAAAGACTGTTTTCACATCCATTTGAACCAAATCCAAATCCAGCTGTACCACCAATACCAATAGTATTCTTATCAATGAATGCTTCACAACAGGTGAGAATACCTCGTTGTAATCAATACCCTCAAGTTAGGCATACCCTTTGGCAACCAATCTGGCTTTGTATCGAATGTACCCATCAGAAAATCTTTCTTTGCATATACCCACTTGCATCCAATTGTTTTCTTACCCTTTGGTAATTTTGCAAGTTCCCAAGTATCATTCTTCTGAAGAGAGTGCATCTCCTCTTCAATAGCTTCCCTCCACCTGATTGAATCAGAACTTGACTATGCTTCCTTATATGTAGAAGGAACCAAATCATCAACGACCTTTATTGACAAAGCATATGCAACCATCACGTCATCATATCTAGTTAGCCGATGAATGACTCTTCTTGGTCTGTTAGCTGCAATAGACTCCTGAACATGACCCTGTTCCTGAGTCCCAATATCCACTTTATCCTCCATCTGCCCATCTGTCATATCTCCTCCCAGTGTCACCTCTGTAGGAGCCTCAACAGATACAGTGCTATCTGAAGTCTGTGGAGTCACATCATCCTCCACCTCCTGCGATATCCCGCTAGTTTGACCTTCATCCACTTGCTGAGGGACCTGAGTCCTCATCATGTAAGCCTCATCAAAAGTGACATATCTACTAATGATTATCTTCTTGTCTTCTGGATCCCACAACTTAAAACCTTTAACTCCATCTCTAAAACCCACAAAGACTGTTTTTTCTAGCCCTCGAATTCAATTTTTCATCATTCACATGATAGTAAGCTGGACACCTAAATATTCAAATCAAATCATAATCACTAGCCACTGAACCAGACCATACCTCCATAGGAGTCTTCCCATGTATCACGGTGCACAGAAACCTATTCACAAGATGGCTTACATAAACTAACGCCTCGGCCCAAAAAGATCTAGCTAATCCACTCCGTGACATCATACAACGCACTTTCTCCAGTAAGATACGGTTCAATCTCTCGGTCACCCCCGTTTTCTTGCGGTGTCCCCCTAACTATGAAATGTCGCCTAATTCCATGATCCTCGCAAAACTACAAAAATGAATCACTCTTGTACTCACCATCATTATTCGAACGAAGTACCTTTACCTTTCTACCCGTTTGCAGCTCCACTTCCTTTTTCCACTTCACAAAGATATCCAGGACCTCATATTTATACTTCATCATATATATCCAATTCCTCTTGAAATAATCATCAATGAAAGTGATAAAATAATTGGCCCCACCAAGTAATGTGTGCTTGGAAGGACCCCAAACATATGTGTGAACGTAATCCAATATAGCTTGGGTGTTGTGAATTGCGGGGCTGAATTTCGTTTTTGTCTTCTTCCCAAGTACACAATGCTCACACAATTCCATCTTGTAAGTCTTTGCACCTTTCAACAGCCCCTGTTTCGCTAATATCTGCAGGCACTTATCACCAGTGTGTCTCAATCTCATATGCCATAAACTGGTAGTATCATCCTCTGTGGTAATCGAAGTTGCCAATCCCTCTGTTATTGTTTTGCCCTTCAAGTACTAAAGATTGTTTTCCTTGACACCTCTCATCACCACCATGGACCCCTTTGTGACCTTTAAAGTTACATTCTCTAAGATCACCTTATAACCAGATGCCTCCAAAGTTCTAAGTGAAATGATGTTCTTCGTCAATTGAGCGATGAATCTCACTTCTTTCAACTCCCTAGTCATACTGTTATACATCCTAATTC